TTATAAATGACCCCTCAGACCCCCACCATGGACTGTTCTCCCTGCTGCCCACTAGAAAGATGCTTCGAAGCATCAGATTCAGGTCCATCAGATTCAGGTCCATCAGATTCCAAAACAGCAACTCCACTGACGACAATAGACACACTTTTAGTAATCTGTATAAGAGAAAAATTTTGAGAAAAAAAAACAAAATCGGTAAACTTCAGATTGCTTAATTTTTTTATGAAAAAAATGCAAAAAAGACCAAAACAACATAAAAGGTCCTGCAGAAAACTACCAGCACCTTTTCTGTTATTGATGGATTTTTTTATTTTCTTTTTGGTACGAGTTAGACTATCATGACTTTTCCTATCTCATAAAATCTCAAACATTCAAACATTTTTTCATCCCAAGCCTTAGAAGTTCACATCCAGTCTCCCCCCTATTCCAGTCCCTTTTTATCCTCCACCTCCCTCTATTGACCCCCTTGTCATAGAATCAAGCTTTCTGTACTCAAGGGAATTTCATTGATTTACTTCACTGATTATTAATTTACTCATAGAGAGCTAATTTGAATAATTAAAGTTTGTTAGAGGTGTTGCAGGGGGGTCACCATCAGCTAAGCCCATTGTCCCAAAGCCACTGCACTAATCTAACCCTTTCATGTTGTGTGAACTTGATATTCGTTTCCCCTCATACATTCATAAACACTTTTTCAAAGTTAATGAGCCACTCATAACGATAAAGATTGAGTTCTTTTTAAATGGTTGCCAAAAACTGTTTATCTTAGCTTACATTTATGCATTTTGTATTAACAGATTACATTTTACTGGATGCTGCAGCTAATCAATATACATGTCTACCATCTGAAAATACCTGCAATAGAAGCAGTCATGCTGGATTATAACTTTATATAAACCTTCAATATCGTGTCAGTTTATCATTTCATCTATAGGAGTAGATTTTCCAACATGTCCCCAGAAATGTTTTAATGCTCTTGGTCTCTTTGGCCAGCAGGGGGCATTAGGCGCTGCAAATGTCGCTTATGACTATAGCCGAATTTGCTTAGATGACTGACAGACGTCATGAGGCTGGTTAATAAAGTGTTGTTATGTGGATATTAGAGCAAATATTGCAGAAAAGTTATAGCCGATAAAAAAAAATAATAAAAACAAAACTTAAACGAGATAAACTCTGCAAATCTTAGTGATTGTTTTAGTTTTTTTCCTGGCAGCTTAGATTTAACTGACCAACTTTTTTTTTTTTTTTATGTAAAACGGTCCCAGGTTCAAAAATAGATCTTTTTTGCTTTACTATTATTTCATCCAGGGTTACATTTATTTGGGAGCGCACGCAGAGCCTCTCTGGTTGGACTCATCTTGTGGCAGCCGGGCAGAGAAAGCGCTCACAGTTGCAAACAGAGCCAGTACCATAACGCACTCCCAGCCCGCTCACAAACCTCAGATTTGAGACACAGGAGCGGAAACGGGTCGAATCCTACTTCAAATTCTCTTTCCTCTTGGCTTGTCGACCGGGGAAAACAAACCGACCTGAGGCGCGGCGAATGGGGATTCACTAATTAACTACTTACACACACACAGGAGAGAGAGGGATAGAGAGAGAGAGACAGACAGTGAGGGAGAGAGAGGGGGAGATGCACACCTCCTGTTCTCCCTCCTCACCCCCTCCTTCTCCTTGCCTCCCCGGGTTCAGGTTGGTAGTTGTGCTGCCTCTCCGGTCGCTGCCTCGGTGTGCCATTAGATTGGATGTGCTTGGATTGACTGTGCGCGCTTCAGCCAGAGAGAAGACCACTTTCTAAAAACAAAATAAAACAAAACAAAAAAGACAAAGAAATCTGAAGGTATGTTTTGCCATTAATCCTAATATATACATGTTTTTCTTTGTTGTCATTTTTTTTCTATTTTTACTTAAAAGAACAAGTTTGGGTCGCGCATTGGGGAACCTGCAAGTCTTCTCTAATGATCCAAAAGCGCTTATTCTCGCTATAGAATAACTTTACCTTGCTTTCCTGGTTACTGTTTCAAAGATGCAGTGTTTGATTGTGGGAACAAAAAAAAAGTTGCGCCTTGCATGACATGTTTTGTGTGTTTTGGTTTATTTTTTGTCTTTGTATTTTTTGGGAGAATTTGGAACCTTTCGCGCGCGCGCGCACCACTGAGATGTTGATCTTTAAAGTCTGCGCGCAGGTGGGAATAGTCTCCGCTGTCCGCGTTGGCCCGGATTAGCCTTTAAATGTCTCTATTTGTTAAGACGTATTGCTCTCACCTCCACGCGGCCGTATCAATCAGTCAATTAAACAGGCATTCACGCGGCGAGCTGCACGAGACCCTTTTAGCCGGCGCACATCTCTCCCTCCCTCTCTCCCCCTCTGCTTCACATTAATGAGCGCTGCCCATTTGGCTCACGAAGGGAGTTTGTGGGAGAGTTTGGATATTTATGAGGCATATGCTTTGCTTAGAATGTAATTAATTAAACTAATATATTTTTCATTTAATTTTTTTAAATTTAATTTCAAGTTCAACTGCCATCCACGAATAAACCTTATTTAATTAAAGGTCTTCAGTATATTTTTTTGAAGTTTCTTCGCCCAGATTTCTTAACACTTAATACTGCAAGCAGAAAATAAATCGACTTGATGGGAGCGTTTTTCTTTCCGTGATCACAGGTCACAGTGCGTCCTCTGCAAAGATAGAGGCTTAAGTTTGCTCCAGCTCAAGTGAAGCCGGGGATTTTTGTTGTGCGTATCCTATGTGTTGGTGCTGGTATCCAGGCTCGCCTGGGAGTTTGTTACAGATGTGGGCACGTCGATAACACTTCGCAGTCAAGCTTTAAAAACATATTTGGAATAATCTTTATTTGATTTTGGCAGGGTTCATGTTTTTTATTTACTATTATTTATTTATTTCTATCTCTTTTTAAGGTGTCCCCCCCCCTCCCGCTCTCCAACTTTTGATGCATATTTATGCGCGCCATGGGTGTACTCCCATCAATTATTTGTGCCGGTATATTTCCAGATAAACAGTGTTTGTAAATCGATACATGCATGTAACTATTGCAGATTAAGAGATCGATCAATGGATCTACTCGAAGTCCAGAAGACCAGCCAATCCTTGTTTGTGCGTGTGTGTGCTTTTATTATTCACTGCTGACTTCAAGAAACATCAGCCATGTAAAAATGAAAATCTAGCGCGTGCATAACTTAACTTAAGACAAGATGAAATAGAAAGGTAAATTAATTTAAGTAATTTGCACCTGATTCAAGCAAAATTATTTTTATTATTTACATTTTTATTTACAACATTTATAATTAAAGCTTTCCAAAATAAAAATAAAAACATTTAAAACCTCTTCTATTACATTATCTATGTTTCTTCTGATTCAATTTTCATGATTTACATATTTGTGCCATTTTTTCAATTGTAGACACTTGTTTTTCAACCATCAAACTGGATTTCCTGCTCTTGTTACCGTGTCCAATCTCAGGCCAACGTGTTGAGCCTCCTCTCGCCGGGTTGTTCGCGAAGTTTTTTGCAGTTTCATTGGATCTTTTGCTTTTTTTTTTTTTGCCTTTTTTTTTGTCTTTTTTTTCTGTTAATTGGATTTCGGGGAAAAAACAAACAAAGCTGCACAAGACATTATTTACCTCTGCAGGGTCGGAGTTGGACTCATCCGACCCTACACAATAATTTGACATCCGACAATTTTTAACCAAAAGGTTTGCTTCAATAAATACATAAGAATATAATCTGAAAAGATGAAAATAAATGATAGACTTAATTATTATTTTCTTTATTATTATTATTATTATTACTATGCTACAAATTTCGTTAGTAATTGTTATCAATTATAATTATTTTTATTTTGATAAACACATTTCGTTAGGACTAATTAAAGCTAATTTCGTTAACAGCTATATTGATATTAATAGTAAATAATAATAATTATTAGGATCTATTTAAATATAGCTGGTCGGATTAAGATTATTAACACGGGTTATTTCTTCGTTTAAACGTTATTTTATTCACATATTTAACTCAGTGACATCGGTTTGTTTTTTTATGCCCCCCATTAGTGATTTTTATTTTTCCACTTTATAGTTTTCTATAATTTTCTTCGTCGGTCTTAATCACTTTGGCAATGCACAAAATATAAGCCCTCGTATTTTAGCTCTTCTTTTGGTGTTTGATAATTAAAGTTCATTGTTTTCCTTAATATCGGCCTATAGGATGGGGATTCCAGGTCACATATGTTACTTTACTAATAATATTTCTTAGATTTTTGGTAAAGCTTTTACAGTTTGAAGATTTTCCGTTTGGATGAGTGAGAAATCACTTCCATGGAGCGTTTCTTTCTTTTCTTTTCTTTTCTTTTCTTTCTTTCTTTCTTTCTTTCTTTCTTTAAAAAACGTTCTCTTTCTTAAAGTGCTGTCATCCTTAAAGCCATTTCATATGATCAAAGTGCGGTTAATGCGCTCAATATTCTTTGCAGCAACTTTTTCATCTGCAGACTGCGGATCCTCCCGCCGCGCTGCAGTCAGGTCTCCGCTCTCTGCACATTATTCTGATTACATCAACGCAAACAGATAACTTTATTTATTTCTTAATACAACCTTAATATCCGTCCTTCAGAACCAACGTTTTGATTTCTGTTTGCAGATAAGTAAATGTATGATCAAAAAGGCAGGGAGCAGTGGTGATTATTCCAAGTTTTCTGGCATGTGTCCTTCCTCCATGGAACAGCCCTTTACTGTATGACAGTGAGGAGTCAATAAGGTGATTGATCTGTGGTCTGTGAGGCAGAAATGTTCCTACGGGGAAACATCAGAACAAGTTTTTTAGGATTGCCTCCACCCTGCTTGACCAAAGCGACGCATCCCTTCTTTTATCATTTTTATCAAATGATCCAAACACGAATTCCTGATGATAATAATAATAAAACTTATTCATTTGTATTGATACTTAAGGAGCCATGAAGGTGATCATTATTTCGCCCATTTTTAGGTTTCGGTGAAGTATTCGTGCAGATTAACAGCGGCACTCCTCCAGCATCTGCCTCTTCTACCCGGATCAGAGCAGACCGGGAGACGGTGATCAGGCTTCGGCCTCAGGTGCATCTCTGAGGCGGGGCGACGCGAAGGTCCAGGTGGGTAAAACCTTCTGCATTCTAACAAACTCTCAGTTTTATTGCACATTCTTCAAATTTTTTGAAATATTGATATCAATTATCTACATATAATCTCTCAGGTTAATTACATTAGTTTTTCAATTACGATTGTTAAATTAACATGTAGGCCTTCCGTACAACTCACCAAAGAAAAAGGTTTTTCCTTCAAGCATACCATGAGTAATATAACTACCTATTGTTGGATAAAATACATAATAAAGAACTATAAATGTTCTATCACTTTGTAAATCTGTATGATGATTCAATTTCTTCAATATCAATGAACTGGGGAGGTTGTGCGCCTGTTTTTCTTTCTCCTTGTTGTCTTGTTGCTTTTTTTATTGTCAAAATCTGCAAAAATCGTTTCCAGTGTTGACTACTGTGAATTTTTTTTTATTCTTAACATAACAGAGACGTACAGATCTTTGTTACTATCAGTCAGTTTAACATTGACTCATAACAATTATCCGACAAGCTTCTGTATTTTAGTTTTATAAGAAAAGTTATTACCCAAAAAGAAAATCTATACTGCAAAACTCTAATAAAAGTTGTTTTATTGTAAAATTGACCAAAGATATTGATATAATGATATATAGCGAAAGCTGCTATAAATAATCTCTACAATTTAGTTTAAATTTAACAGAACTATGTCAGAGATCTGCAAAAAATAGATACATCTGTTTAATGTAATATATATATATATATATATTAGTTATAAATAAAAACGTTTTATAATATGAATAAGACAAAATGTGTGAAAGTGATTCTTTGATATTTTAGTTTCTGGTTTCTAGTAAGTCTTTTGTTGTTTGTTTAATGTAGAGATTCAGTTTTAATTCTGTAGGTCTTTTAAAACCTTACACCGGTTTTCTGCTGTCAACCATCAAATTATTCAAAGTCTTATCAATACAAAGGCTATACTATAAAAATTGTTTTCTATTTCTACAATAGCTTTTCTTTAAAAACATTAAAAAAAAAGTAAACTGTCAGCACATAATGAAAGATATCCCAAGCAACATGTTCAGACCAAATTCCAGATTTTCCACAAGCCAACCAACGCTCAGACATCTCCCAATGCTCCTTTTTGCCTCCCCCATCCCTTCCTGTCTGATATTAGCCCTCTAGCGCGCCTTAAAATGTTTCATTATTCAAGATTCAGTTCTGTTTGCCAATGTATACACGTGTGTACCTGTTACATCCAAAGCCTATAGGGCAACTGAAGGACTCCTCTGTATCTTTTCTACCATCTTCTCACCTCCTCCCCTCTTCTGTCATCCCTCACTATACCACACCTGGTAACTACAAACTTGTACACAATAATAACAGCCACATGTACCTATCTATCTCTGTATCTAGCCTGTCGGCAGTTAGTGGAGTGGCTGAGAGACTTGCAGGCGTGAAAGGTCAGTTAATCAATGGCTCACAATTTGACAAATCCCAGCGACTCTTATCATCCTCACGGGCGTTTAGGGGCCGAAAGGAGGACCACCGAGATAAATGCTTAATCCTTGTAGCTCAGAGAGAAGGAGCGAAAGAGGACAAGCTGGTAAGCAGATGGGCATGCAGAGAGGTTTTGAGCACTGGGGAGGGAAGGAGGAGGATGTTTGGAGGAGTAGCTGAGCAAAGACACGTAAAAGAAGTGAAGGACGAGATGTAAAAGTGACTCTATTGCACAACTGGAAGGTGAACAAATGCGGCTGCATTTTGAAGATGTCAGCTTACTGCTTTCGTCTGTCACGTTCAAAAGAAGCACACGACTTTACGGCTCTCAGATCACTCGGTTTGCCTGGGGCTGGACAGGCCATGCACATGCCTTCTAGGCTGACGTACAAATCCTGCTTCAGTCTTAGTTATGGCTTTGACACCATGTGTAAAGTTGAGAAAAACCTCAGGAAAACAAAGGTGTATGAGTGCCTGAATTCTCTCGTGGCATGTTAGCCCGCCTGCAGCAGTGTGCAACCAAGAGGAAAATGAGCTTTTGTCCACAAGGCTGGCCCTTTTCTTCCCTCGATTTTTCAAGCTGCAGGGGTTTGGAAGGTGGCAAACTCTCTGTGCCCCATACCCTTAACAAAGATCACCCCAGTGTGACATCGGATCAGTTGGTTTTTTTTGCCACTAAATTGTTTGTGCTTTTTTAACCTCTTCTTGCAGTTTCTTCAGTTCTAATCTGAACATAGATAAATGCTTATGTCTTAGACACTGAGTAGAGCCCACGTGAGCCTACTTTTAAATGTGCCTAGAAATAATAAGGAAAAAACATTTTTATCAATAAATTCCAACCTTGTGATTTTAAGGAAACTTGCACACATGATTGTTGCTTTACAATTATGCCAAATAAACTATTCATAGTTTATTGTTAAAATAGGTTAGCTTATTCATTTATATCCGCTGCTTTTTCCTATGTTTGAATCTCATTTTGTGTATTGTCTTAATGCAAAGCAATCAAAAAACACATGAAAACTGTATTCAGTTCTATGCACAATTCATATTTAAATATTATAAGTACTTTATTACCTATAATCCAATTTAATGAGTCAGAAAAATATCATTTTCTCCAGAATGTGTATATTGCTATTTATTTGATAAAAATCTAGCCTTGAATCAGGGCTCCAAAATCTAATTTGGTGTGGGGCCCCTATACCAGCTTGATCCAGCTTTCCTCAAACAAAAGGCTTGTCATCTTGTTGTCTTTTCAACACAATTTATCTAGGAGACTTGATTTTGCATTACTGCATTGAGATTTTGTCTGAGCTCTTTTTCTAGAAGAGAATCTGGCACACCTTGAGTGTCCTTTATCACCATCTCAATACAAATCCAATCTAGTTCAATTGAGATTATTTGAATTGGCATGACAGCAGATCTCTAGTATTGCCAAACCACTTAGGAGGCAATGACAGGACCGCATCGATGCATACTAACACATACACAACACCCAACCTCGTAGTGAATCTAAGACACGGTCACAGATGAAGCAGCGGCTGGGTAACAAGACCAGGCAAAGAATTTCGGGGGGAAAATTCACCTGAACAGTGGAATAAAAAGATGATTGAGGAATATTGAATGGATCTGAAGAAAAGAGAAGAGAAATGATGAAGGGAAGCAGATGGTTAGCCATGTCAAAGAATGAGAAAGATTGGAGAAAGTAGGTGAAAAAATAGAATGAGGCTCCAGTGCTGCAGAAAGGTTTTTTTTAAGGGATTGCAAGTGGTCCACTTAGAACTTTGTAGTGCCATAACAAAAACAAAAACATGCATGGATTTTATCACCTTATTCTGGTATAGAGTTACATACAAAACACCATACATGTTACATAGCTTAAAATAATTAAATTAAACTTGTAGATATGTCAGTCTGGAGGGGAAAGGGATTTAGGGTGGCAGTGAGGTAGCAGACATTTTTGATGGCACTACTAGAAAGAGGTCAAAAAAACCAGAGACACTAAAGACAGAAACAGAAGAGCAGAAAAGATAAAGCGGGGCAGGTTCTAGTGGAGGATAAAATGTATAATAGTGATGAACGAGAAAAGAGAAAAGGAAGAGATTTACTAGAAGAGAGATTAAGTCAAGTTGTCCCCGGTCAGTCATTAATCCGATTTAAGTGCAATTAAGGTGAGACTGATTCCTTCCTAGGGAGAAAGAAATAGATGGAGAGGCTGTAAAGAGGGATACGAGAGTGGGGAGGGGCGGTGGGCTGGTAGACGGGAAACGTAGACGAGGATGGAGTGATTGAAAGAGAAAAGTGGGAAAATGAAAACAGGTGCCTGAACTCAGAGAGGCTTTAATGTTGGCAAATTAGAGGCTGCGTGATGTACAACAGACTCCTGCAGGGAAAAAAAGTATCTGTGCATTCAATTAGAAGTGCCATATTTGGAAAATGTATATATTTAATGAACTCTCGCTCAGTTCATTTATTATAGGGCAAGTGATACTGTTACTGTAGTTATCATAGGTTAACCAAAGGTTTGAGCTTATCCTAAGCAGTTTAATGACCATACTTTATCATACTGCTACAAAACACACTCTTCTATGTCGAAGTTTTTATAGAAAGATGTAGACTAGTTTGCTCTCTTGGGAACAACTGAGATCCTAGAAGTGGAAGCCTTATTTTCTATGGTTGTATGTTAGAAATATATCCAGGTTGGTCTTTTTTAACATCGAGTGTGACTTCAGCAGATAACAGAAAGGATGAACATGTAACAAAGTTACTGTAATTTGAGAATCAAGGTAAAGATTGTCTGTATATCAGGATCTCAAGCTTAATATTTTATTATATAATTATATTGGGGAGTAATGACGTAAAACTGAGGTATTTTTAGCAATTTTATTCAAGAACGGTGAATCGGGAAATCATTTGTTATGACCTGTATAGAGGTGGCCAGATCACTGCATGATCCTCTTCAGACTCAAAGCAGCCAACACACACCAAGTGGAACATTTAATAATGTTATATAATTAAAAAGAATTTTGATTAAGATGTTACAAATTGAGCATATTGCTTCAGAGTGAGCTATAATGCCAAAAACAAAAAAAGTAATCTATATGAATATTAATCGAAACTAATTAAAAGTGAATAAACCAAATGACAAAAACTTATTCCCCTAATTAAGAAAAACATGTGAAACGAAGCAAACCTAAACGGCAGCTCACTCCAACAAACTCCAAAATCTTAAATGGTGTTAACAAACAGACAGTGTGGCCGGTTGAGATGAGCTGAGGATGGACGGCAGGAAGTCCGGCCAGTAGGTTTTATATCCGTCCCCTCTGGGAGGTCATCAATTGGACATCTCTGTAGTCTACTAGGAACCACTCAGAGGCAGGCACCTGCACACTCATATTTGCATAAATAAGTTGACGGCCCCAGCCCTTAACACATTTAAAAGTTGATATTGGACTCCTGATTACTGGGGTTCCAGATCCAGGTCTATAGCCTGTAGGGAATACACATAGAGACTGCTGTTTAATTTTTCTAATGTTGACTGG